GGACTGAGGTGAGGCTGACTGGCCTGTAGTTCCCAGGATCCTCCTTCTTCCCTTTTTTAAAGATGGGCACTACATTAGTCTTTTTCCAGTCATCCGGGACTTTCCCCGTTCGCCACGAGTTTTCAAAGATAATGGCCAATGGCTCTGCAATCACAGCCGCCAATTCCTTTAGCACTCTCAGATGCAACGCGTCCGGCCCCATGGACTTGTGCTCGTCCAGCTTTTCTAAATAGTCCCTAACCACCTCTTTCTCCACAGAGGGCTGGCCACCTACTCCCCATGCTGTGATGCCCGGCGCAGCAGTCTGGGAGCTGACCTTGTTCGTGAAGACAGAGACAAAAAAAGCATTGAGTACATTAGCTTTTTCCACATCTTCTGTCACTAGGTTGCCTCCCTCATTCAGTAAGGGCCCACACTTTCCTTGGCTTTCTTCTTGTTGCCAACATACCTGAAAAAACCCTTCTTGTTACTCTTAACATCTCTTGCTAGCTGCAGCTCCAGATGTGATTTGGCCCTCCTGATTTCATTCCTACATGCTCGAGCAATATTTTTATACTCTCATTGATGATGTGCTGGAAAGGTTTTGGCTGGGGGCTGTACGTGATGGCCAGTGGTGTTCTGTTACTTTCCTTGTTGGGTCTGTCCTGTAGTAGGTGACTTCTGGGTACCCGTCTCGCTCTGTCAGTCTGTGTCCTCACTACCCCAGGTGGGTATTGTAGTTTTCAGAATGCCTGATAAAGATCTTGTAGGTGTTTGTCTCTGTCTGAGGGATTGGAGCAAATGCAGTTGTATCTTACGGCTTGGCTGTAGACAATGGATCGTGTGATGTGTCCTGGATGGAAGCTGAAGGCATGTAGGTAAGTATAGCGGTCAGTAGGTTTCCGGTATAGGGTGGTGTTTATGTGACCATCGTTTATTAGCACTGTAGTGTCCAGGAAGTGGATCTCTTGTGTGGACTGGTCCAGGCTGAGGTTGATGGTGGGATGGAAATTGTTGAAATCATGGTGGAATTCCTCAAGGGCTTCTTTTCCATGGGTCCAGATGATGAAGATGTCATCAATATAGCGCAAGTAGAGTAGGGGCGTTAGGGGACGAGAGCTGAGGAAGCGTTGTTCTAAGTCAGCCATAAAAATGTTGGCATACTGTGGGGCCATGCGCGTACCCATAGCAGTGCCGCTGATCTGAAGGTATACATTGTCCCCAAATGTAAAATAGTTATGGGTATAGTTACCTCCAACGCATTATTAAGGATCTACAACCTATCCTGAAGGATGACCGAACACTCTCACAAATCTACAGACAGCCCCCGAACCTGAAGCAAATACTCACCAACAACCACATACCACACAACAGAACCACTAACCCTAGAACCTATCCTTGCAACAAAGCCTGTTGCCAACTGTGCCCACATATCTATTCAGGGGACACCATCAAAGGGCCTAATAACATCAGCCACACTATCAGAGGCTCGTTCACCTGCACATCCACCAATGTGATATATGCCATCATGTGCCAGTAATGCCCCTCTGCCATGTACATTGGTCAAACTGGACAGTCTCTACATAAAAGAATAAATGGACACAAATCAGATGTCAAGAATTATAACATTCATAAACCAGTCAGAGAACACTTCAATCTCTCTAGTCACACAATCACAGACATGAAGGTCGCTATCTTACAACAAAAAAACTTCAAATCCAGACTCCAGTGAGAAACTGCTGAATTGGAATTCATTTGCAAATTGGATACTATTAATTTAGGCTTAAATAGAGACTGGGAGTGGCTAAGTCATTATGCAAAGTAGCCTATTTCCCCTTGTTTTTTTCTACCCCCCTTTCCTCCCCCCCGACGTTCTGGTTAAACTTGGATTTATGCTGGAAATGGCCCACCTTGATTATCATGCACATTGTAGGGAGAGTGGTCAGTTTGGATGAGCTATTGCCAGCAGGAGAGTGAGTTTGTGTGTGGGGGGGGGTGAGAAAACCTGGAATTGTGCTGGAAATGGCCCACCTTGATTATCATGCACATTGTAGGGAGAGTGGTCACTTTGGATAAGCTATTACGAGCAGGAAAGTGAGTTTTTGTGTGTGTGTTTTTTTGAAAAAAGGGGGTGGGGGGGGTGAGAAAACCTGTATTTGTGCTGGAAATGGCCCACCTTGATTTTCATACACATTGTGAGGAGAGGTTTCAGAGGAACAGCCGTGTTAGTCTGTATTCGCAAAAAGAAAAGGAGTACTTGTGGCACCTTAGAGACTAACCAATTTATTTGAGCATGAGCTTTCGTGAGCTACAGCTCACTTCATCAGATGTTTACCGTGGAAACTGCAGCAGACTTTATATACACACAGAAATCATGAAACAATACCTCCTCCCACCCCACTGTCCTGCTGGTAATAGCTTATCTAAAGTGATCAACAGGTGGGCCATTTCCAGCACAAATCCAGGTTTTCTCACCCTCCACCCCCCCACACAAATTCACTCTCCTGCTGGTGCTAGCCCATCATGGATGGGCTAGCACCAGCAGGAGAGTGAATTTGTGTGGGGGGGTGGAGGGTGAGAAAACCTGGATTTGTGCTGGAAATGGCCCACCTGTTGATCACTTTAGATAAGCTATTACCAGCAGGACAGTGGGGTGGGAGGAGGTATTGTTTCATGATTTCTGTGTGTATATAAAGTCTGCTGCAGTTTCCACGGTAAACATCTGATGAAGTGAGCTGTAGCTCACGAAAGCTCATGCTCAAATAAATTGGTTAGTCTCTAAGGTGCCACAAGTACTCCTTTTCTTATTGTGAGGAGAGTGGTCACTTTGGATAAGCTATTACCAGCAGGAGAGTGAGTTTGTGTGTGTTGTTTTTGGAGGGGGGTGGGGGGGTGAGAAAACCTGGATTTGTGCTGGAAATGGCCCACCTTGATTATCATACACATTTTAAAGAGAGTGGTCACTTTGGATGGGCTATTACCAGCAGGAGAATGAGTTTGTGGGGGGGGGGGGGGGCGGAGGGTGAGAAAACCTGGATTTGTGCTGGAAATGGCCCAACTTGATGATCACTTTAGATAAGCTATTACCAGCAGGAGAGTGGGGTGGGAGGAGGTATTGTTTCATGGTCTCTGTGTATATAATGTCTTCTGCAGTTTCCACAGTATGCATCCGATGAAGTGAGCTGTAGCTCACGAAAGCTCATGCTCAAATAAATTGGTTAGTCTCTAAGGTGCCACAAGTACTCCTTTTCCACTTGTAAGGTAACTCCCTTCTCTTCATGTGCCAGTGTATTTATGCCTGTATCTGTAATTTTCACTCCATTCATCTGAAGAAGTGGGTTTTTTACCCACAAAAGCTTATGCCTAAATAAATCTGTTTGGCTTTAAGGTGCCATCGGACTCCTTTTTGTCTCTGTGGTACTGATGCTGGAAGCCAAATGCCACATCCCGAGGAAGGCTATGGCTCCTGCAGAGCAAGTGCAAGGTGACACAGTGGTCCTAACTTGAACTGTTCCCTTTTTGTTGCATATGCCCAGTCTTGTTCTGAAGCATCAAGAGGTGCTGCCAGTCTGCAGCAGGATTCCCTTGGCAATGCATTGCTCACATATGCCTTAGTACGTAGTTGATCCTTTTAACCATCTGGCATATGGAGGCTATTGCTTAGATAGCAACTCTGTGGGAGCCCAGATACAGCTGGCACACTGGGGATTTTGCACCTAGTTGTGTTAGGAAACAATAGAAAAGTTTGAAATAATGGCAGAATTGAGCACACTTCCTAATATACAACAAAGTAATCACTTTGGCTGTGGTTAGTGGAGAGCAGAAAGGGGCCCATAAACTTTGCAGTGTTTATGAAGATAGGCAGTTCCTTGCCAATGCTCGTTTAATTCAGTAATTAATTTACTACATGCAAAACTGAAATTCATTATGTAACAGACAAGCGGTTCGTATTCCACCTTTTGCTGTGAATCACTGTAATGAAATGTTACAGGGATTTTTAAAATACAGCTAGCATGTTGAGAGCATCTTTAGCTTAGCAATTATCACAAGCAGATAATGGATGTTTATGAGCAGGGTTGGATAAGGCATTGGCTCTATAAGGGCCTCAGCTCCTGAAGTCATGTGATTACAACAGAGTTGCCATTTTCATTTGTTAAGTGGGTTTCTAGACCTGGTGGTTGTGAAGAAAAGCTTGAAGACTTGGAGCTGATGCAGTGACATTTGCCGGAGTTTTCAGACAGCCTGAAACAATAGCCCTGAGAGGGGTGAATTGTCCCATTCATCTCAGTTTAACCCCAAGGCCCTTTGCTCTGGGAGAGGCTTTGCTGACACCTCCCAGCAGGACCCTCTGTGTATTGTAGGGGAAGAGCGCAGGCCCAATCACCTACACAGGTGCTTCAAGGTGGGGGGAAGAGCTCCATCCTGCTATTCCTCTCTGGGAGGGGAGGAGAGCCCCCCCAATGCTTTTGCCAGTAGGGAAGTGTCATGGTAAGGCCACTGTGGGCCCTGTGTCATGGTATGCCTCAGCCCAGATTGCCTTAATCCAATCCTCTTTCAAACAGCTAACAGACTCTGGAGACCTTTGCTCTCTGTCTGGCCAGCTGTTAAGCTGACTCTGTTTTATTTTGTCAGTATGTGAGATGAACTGGACATGCTGATCATCACACAGTCTGAGTTGCATTGTCCTTTCGGTACACTGCTGGCACGTGTCCTCTCTTTGCTCTGCCCATGGTCTTCAGATGATCTGGAGTGCCCTAGTCACATGGTCCCCAGGAGCAATCCATCTGCATGGGAGAAGAGTAGGCCTGTAGAGTAAGCCAAAGCAGTCTGGGCTCAAACAATGTTACTTCTAAAGTGGGAAGGACATGCACATGCTCATTTCTTGCTCCCTCCTCTGTCAATTCAGGCTGCCAGTTCCTGAAGAGTTCCTCACTTCGGGCACCCTGTCCTTGGAAATTTATAGTCATGCGCTGAAGATCGAACTTGCACCAACAGATTTTGTTACTCTTGCTTCCTTGCAGAACACAGTTGGGGAGAATCGATGGCTACAAGAGCAGCTGATCCAACTGCTAGTCAGCTACTGTGATCTGAACACAGCAGCCAGGTGGGCTCTCCGCTATAGCTTACCTGAGAAGACCCTGCCTTACGGAGTGGCCGATGAACTTCAGAAACTCAAGGTCCCGGAGAGGTAAATATCATGGATTATACCGACTTCAGAAATATATGAATTATGCCAGTGGCCTCTCTGGCCCCCAGAGCAGCTTGGATTTGGGAGAGACAAAAGTGGCTTAAAGTGCCCTCAGGAGGAGAGTTCTGTACTTTACTTCTTAGAGACACAACACAGAATCTTACCCCCCCGCCCACCTTTGAGTAAACTGGACTGCTGAGTTCATAGAGGGAAATCCCAGCCTGCAGAGAGAGAGGCTGCATTTGGATAAAAAGAAAAGGAGGACTTGTGGCACCTTAGAGACTAACAAATTTATTTGAGCATAAGCTTTCGTGGCTACAGCTCACACTGCAAATCATAGAATATCAGGGTTGGAAGGGACCCCAGAAGGTCATCTAGTCCAACCCCCTGCTTGAAGCAGGACCAATTCCCAGTTAAATCATCCCAGCCAGGGCTTTGTCAAGCCTGACCTTAAAAACCTCTAAGGAAGGAGATTCTACCATCTCCCTAGGTAACGCATTCCAGTGTTTCACCACCCTCACAGTGAAAAAGTTTTTCCTAATATCCAATCTAAACCTCCCCCACTGCAACTTGAGACCATTACTCCTCGTTCTGTCATCTGCTACCATTGAGAACAGTCTAGAGCCATCCTCTTTGGAACCCCCTTTCAGGTAGTTGAAAGCAGCTATCAAATCCCCCCTCATTCTTCTCTTCTGCAGACTAAACAATCCCAGCTCCCTCAGCCTCTCCTCATAACTCATGTGTTCCAGACCCCTAATCATTTTTGTTGCCCTTCGCTGGACTCTCTCCAATTTATCCACATCCTTCTTGTAGTGTGGGGCCCAAAACTGGACACAGTACTCCAGATGAGGCCTCACCAATGTCGAATAGAGGGGAACGATCACGTCCCTCGATCTGCTCGCTATGCCCCTACTTATACATCCCAAAATGCCATTGGCCTTCTTGGCAACAAGGGCACACTGCTGACTCATATCCAGCTTCTCGTCCACTGTCACCCCTAGGTCCTTTTCCGCAGAACTGCTGCCTAGCCATTCGGTCCAAATGATTGTCTGAGCTCCAGTAGCTGTTCAGTTAAATCCATAGTTTAAAGTTAAATCCACCACACTTTCTGAAGAATCCATGTGCAAATATCTGAGAGCGAACTGCTGAGGAGCTGCTTAGTCTGGTGTTCCTCCTCTTTTTGCTTCTTTCTTGAATCTTGCTTTTCCTTCCTGACTCATGTCTCAGAGTATATTCCCCCCCCCCTTTTTTTTTTCAGGCAGTGTACATGAGGTATTTCAGACAGAGGCAGTTAACAGCAAAACATCTAGTAGCCAGGTCTTAGGGTGGGAGCACTAAGTTTAAAGAATCCAGAAGTTGCATGATACTGGTGATGTCGCCACCTGAGGGGCACAACCTGCCCATTCCCTCTAGCACGTAGGATATAAAAGATAGCAGAATTGGTGTGGTTATGCTGTGCAGGGGAGGCAGTATGCAGAGAGTCCATGCAGTGGTGTCCACAACTCCCATCTGCGGTGAAAATGTGTTCCATGGGGCTTAAACCATGAGAGCATGGGGAGGTGTTTTGGATACGAGCCAAGCTAGAGGAGGCACATGGATCCATACGCTCCTATGCTTGTCCACCAGCCAGATTATCGCAGCAGCCAGATTCCTGCAGGTGTGCAGAGCCTCAGTCAAGGCTATTGCAGTCCTCTGGTCTCTCAAGAAGCTGCTGCTGGCTCTACCAGCCCACTGGGCCAAGGACAGAGGTATTCTTTCCCCCAAGCAGCCCGTGCATTTACTTGGACTTTGCACAAGGAAGAGGATCTGGCCCTGAATGTTTAGTACAAAGCAGGAGAGCTCTGGGCTGTCTTGCTGAGTAGCCTGGGTGCAATGGCAGCCTTGCACTTGGGGACTCATGGACTGCATAGCGTTATCAGTCCTGCAGCCGCTAGCCTCTGCCACGGGAGACACATGATAGCCTGCCCCCACCTCACCACCAGCCAGCAAAGGGCACAGAGCCCAGTGGCAAGGGAAGCACAGCAGCTATGCTCAGGAGACACTGAAATCTGGGCCTGCAGGAGACTGCCCCTGGTGGGGGGCAGTACCTTACTGGCAGCGCATGACCTTTCTTTGCATGCAAGGTAAGCCCCCAAACAGCGGGCAGGCGGGGCCCATGCCTGCGAGAGAGCCACAAACTCCGGGCATGCACCGTGGCAGGAAACCAACATCAGAACTCAACCTGTCAGTAACCTCAATGGCATATGCCAGCTCCGCCATTCGCAATCTATTTGGATGGGTAAGTGAAGCCCTCTGTACCGCAATCTTCCTAGGATAAGAATCCTAACCCATCATGGTGAAGTACTTTGCAGTCCATGGAGCCCTGGATCCAAATGTAGCCACTTCTCTTTTCTTAGCACTTGAAACAGTCTAGCAGCAGGTTCCCACAGAGGGCGTTCACGCTGCAAGAGAAAGAGATGGTATCAGAGTATGAATGATGACATCACCTCTGCTGCTGGTCCCACCATATGCTCCTCTTGAGCTGTGCAGATCAGAATATTCCGGGAGAGATGAGATTTCACACCTTCATTAAATATTTTACACAAATATTGACTTCAGCGTGCACACATACCATCTCTGCGAGGGAATGTTTGCACAGCACCAAGCTGCTATGTTACAAAATTAGTCACACAGTCCCTGAAACACAAGGTTAGTAAATATTTTCTCAAATAATAAACCATTTAAAGTCTCTGTGGGAAAGAGACTAGCCAGAAATTCATGATATGTACAAAATAGTTGTTTTTCTCTTACTCTTACTTTCCTTCGATTGCATCATCTGGAAGGTTCACAAGAACAAAGCTATTACAGCATTTACAAAGCTATTGCAAGAGCCTCTGCTGTATGGGGAACCAACTCGTGCTGTGTAAGGTTCTATTCTAGGAAATCCATGATAACTCACAAATCCCATTTCTGCAGACATCTCCCTAACAGTGCCAGGGTGTTAATGCACTCGCATTGCACCTCTCTCTGGGGCACTGCCTGAAGTCTTAGTGTAGGAGAGTGAAACAGGTGGGGAATCTCAGTCTGGGTGTGAGTTCAGCTTACCACTGTTCTTAGCACCTAGACCCCAAAGTGCAGGGAGGTGGTGGAGTAGTGTGAAAACTTTCTAGGGGTTTTTGTCTGTCCAGCTCCATAGAACAGAGGGAATAACAGGTGTAGATGCTGTACAGGGAAAGGGCTGGGGGAAACTGGCATAGGAAGGAGAGGTCAGTGAACCCTTTATGAGCCATCCCACTCTAAGCTCAATGGAAGAGGAGGCCTCTTGAGCCAGAGGCAATGGCCCCTAGGTGGTGGAAATCCTGCTGTAGGTGGGGCAGCCTGTGATTCTCTGCCTGTTCCTGTCTAATGAGAAAACCGAAGTTCTGGTTTGGGCCCTAAGCAGGTCAGAGCCAGCCTGTCCACGTGCATGGGGCCATGCCAGCTAGTGGGTTCCTGGGTTCATGGTGAGGGGCTGGAAGTCGAGTCCTTACAATGTGCTAATTTCGAAGTCAGAGCTCACTTGCTGGCTTTAAGGTCACATCAGTTCTGGGAAAGAGAATGGAGTGTGAGTAATGCATGATGAGAAGTCTGGGTTTGAGAGGCTTTTCTAGTCTGGAGGCTACTTCCAATGTGTATATGTTATTGATGGAATGGACTTGTGCTCCAAGCTTCCATCTCTGTCTCACATACACTGATGTTTTTTGGTGATTTTAGGGGCAGGGGATGAGGGAGAGAAGGTGAGTCAAGGCTGAAAGGAACAGAAAGAAAGAGTAGAATAAGGAAAGGGTCAGAGAAAGTGGAGAGAGAAGAGAGATCGAGTGAGAGGAGGTGACTGGGATGTGAGGAGAGGGGTTCTAGGACTTTCTGATGTCCCTTGGGCCCTGAAATCTTAGGATGGCCCTGTTAAAAGTTGCTGGCTCTTGTTTTGTGCAGGGTAGAAGATGCTGAGAGCACAGTGGATGACTATGAAGAGGATAGGAAGGAGGGTTATTACCAGATCCCCATTCCCAGGGAGAACATTCACTTTCTGCAGACATGGGAAGGGATACTGAGGTGGAGGGAGAAGGTGCTGCAGGTAAGCATCTCCCTGTTGTTGGTTTTTTAGTGTCAATTATGTAACATGGGGTGGAATATTTGTGACCTTCATCATCAAATACATGTCAGCCTATGCCAGGAGCAGCAGGAGCATGCCTGGCACTTTCTGTAGGAAATCTCTGAGGCCTGTGGGCTTGGAGATTGACTGGAATAGCTATTGTGGAATAAGCTATCGCAGGGGCGGGCAAACTACAGCCCACGGGCCACATCCGCCCTCCAGCCAGTTTAATCCGGCCCTCAAGCTCCCAGTGGGGAGCGGGGTCTGGGGCTTGCCCTGCTCCCATGCTCCAGCTGGGGAGCAGGGTTGGAGGCCACTCCATGCGTGCCGCCCAGAACCTGCACCCCTGAACCCCTCCCATGCCCCAACCCTCTGCCCCAGCCCTGATCCCTCTCCTGCACCCCAACCCTCTGCCCCAGCCAGGACCCCCCTCCTGCACACTGATCTCCTCATTTCTGGCCCCACCCCAGAGCTCGCACCCCCGCCAGAGCCTTCATCCCCCCCATCACCCACACCCCAACCCCCTCCCCTAGCACAGAGCCTCCTCCTGCACACTGAACTCCTCATTTCTGGTCCCACCCCACAGCCCACACCCCCAGCCAGAGTGCTCACCCCCTCCTGCACCCCAACCCCCAATTTCATGAGTATTCATGGCCCACCATACAATTTCCATATCCAGATGTGGCCCTTGGGCCAAAAAGCTTGCTCACCCCGAGCTACCAGGAAAAACTTCTCATGGGACACTGTAATCTGGATAAAATCCACTTTATTCACAATAATTAGTGCACTTCCAAAACAGTAATTATTCTGCAGTAAAGTCACTCTTAGTCCAGAGTAGAGTGTCCAGCCAGGGAGCTATTCCACAATTGCTGTTTCAGTCTATGTCCCATGTAGAGAAGCCCTGAGTAAAGAAAGCCTTTTGTATGTGCTGCAGCCCGGCCAGGTTGTTGGCATCGACATGGAGTGGAGGCCGTCATTTGGAGTGGTGGGAAAGCCACGCGTCTCGGTGATGCAGATTGCTATCGAGGAGCAGGTGTTCCTCCTGGATTTGTTGCAGCTCCTCAAGCCAGATGAGATGGAGGAGCTTTCTCACTTTGTCCAGACCCTCTTCTCAGATCCAACCATCATTAAACTAGGTAACTTAAGCTTTCCCCTATGCTCTGCTTTCCACTGCAGGAACTGTCAGCCTTTCTCACTACTTCACATACATAGGAACAACAGGAACTTCATCTTCCCTGCCCTCTATACATGGGGCCTTCCCCAGTAGGGTGTAATGTAGTCCAGTTAGAACAGGCTCTTAGAACATTCTTCTCTTATTGCTTTGGGAGCCTTCTATATTAGATGGCCGCCATGGCAGGCAGCAGGGTGAACAGCTTCCACCACTGCCTGCCCCACACCAGAAACTACAAGTCTGTGGGTTAACCCATCTGGTATCAGAACAAATATCTGTCTGGGTTAGCCTGCTCCATACCAGAACCCGCAACTCCCTGGGTTAGTCCACCCAGTACCAGAACCCAGAGCTTTCCAAGTGAGCCCTCATGGAACCAGAACCCCATAGCTCTCTGGGTTAGCTCATCTGCTACTAGAACCCATAGCTCTCTGGGTTAACCCACCCCATACCAGAACTGATATCTTTCTGGGTTAGCACACCTGGAACCAGAACCCAGAGCTTTCAGGTTAGCCTGCCATGCACCAGTACCCAGAACCCATTTTTCTATCTGTGTGATTTGAGGCTTTGTCTCTGCAGGTTATGGGATGTCCGGAGACCTGCACAGCCTAGCTGCTACGTGCTCTGCTTTTAAAGAAATGAATAAGCAGGTGCAAGGCATAGTGGACCTGCTTGCAGTAGATAAACAAGTAAGAATGGGAATCTGAAGATTTGGAAAATGCCTTCTCTTGATTGTACCGGAAGATAACTGTCATTATTTCACAGCATTGTCTTTCTGCATCCTATATTGGCAGGGAGATGACTAGATGACCTAATAGGTCTTTTCCATCTCTAGTTCCTGGGGTGATGTAATTCTTTAGAGAGAGACACAAGCATTCAGTTTTGATTAGCTAAAAAGACATGGCTGGGTATTTTAATAGCTCTCCACTTTGCCTTTATGAAAGGAACTAAAATGGAGCCAGAGGTCCATTCACCAAGGGGGGCTTTTTGAACACAACCATCACACTCATACTTGCTATGAGCAAATTCTTGCAGAATTTATAAAACTTATAAAAGTTTATTATAAAAGTTTCATTATTCTAACATTTGGTAGTGTCCATAGAGTAGTTATGGATTTAATAGACAGCTCCTTATTAAGAGCATGGAGCTGCAGAGTCAGTGCAGTACAGGATTTGCACTCATCTGCTACTGAAATGCAGCTGGCTTTAGGTTAGAACTCAGTAGCTGTGCAGCAGCATGCAGTAATTTTAGTAAGAAAATGAAAAATTGCATCTGTTTGAAACCGCAGGGGGAATTTAAGGAGGTAGGTTGGGATTTAGCCAAACTCCTGGGGTTGTCGTCATAACTCAGGAAGTGCTGGGGAAACTCTAGTGTCCACAGGTAGTCACAGCCTTAGTTCTATCCAGATTGAGTGAGGGACATTTCAGAATTGTCATTGTTTGCTCTAGTCCTGGGGCACCTTTTCTGTTTAACACATCAGCTCAGAAAAAACAAAATGGGGAGGAAGATGCTGGGGTTCTGTGGTTATTATTTCTTTATTATTTGTATTGTGTTAGTGCCCAGTGGTCTCAGTTGGCTCAGGGACTCTCTCCTCTGGATGCTCTGTAAACGCGTGAGAAGAGACACTCCCTGACCCAACTTCTTAACATCTTAGGAAAATGCTCCAGGAGAAATTTGGTCACCCTTTTTAGCATACTCAGAGGAAGAGGGCTCCACAGTCAGCAAGCCAGAATCTTTAGCCAGGTTCTTTGAATATGAACTTGGTCCTGACTAAGTAATAGGTAATATACAATCGTAACTTTGCTTTAATAAAAAGTATGAAATAAAAAAATTCAAAAAAGCGCTCCCGGTATGATGCAGTCAAACTAGGCTGTTGTTTCCCTTCCAGGCTTTGAAACCAAGTTCACTTCCAACGAGTGTGTTTGTCAAGCAAATATCCAATATCTGTTCGAGTATCCAGTTTGCCATGCCAGCCCTTGTCTGAGATAGCAGGGCTGTGTGTACCTTTACTGAAGTGAAAGGTGATTACATTAGGATTGCTTCCTGACCACATGCCTTGATTGTTCTTTCCACCCCACTGCAACATGTGATATTTTCAGGATCTGTTTTGAAATCTGTTTATTTTGCATCTTTCTCTCCCCCTTCAGTTACAGAAATGCTGGAGGAAGAGCAGCCGTCAAGTTGATGTACTGTCACAGGAGAAGAGCTGTGGAGACAGAGGGTTCAGGCAGCCAGAAAGAGGGCTCAGTCTGCTGGTGCAGCATGTCCTGGGGAAACCTCTTAATAAAACTGAGCAGCTCTCCAACTGGGAGAAACGGCCGCTGCGGGAGGAACAAATCCTCTATGCAGGTCTGGTTAGCATGTAACTGTAGAGCAAGGTGCTATGGACAGCTCTGTCATGGGCCCGCATTTCATTAGATGTGTAGATGTGGAAAAAATGTTAACTAGCAGAGGGGAAAATGGCTTTGCAGATTAGTTCCTGTTCAAAGAAGCCAGCACATGTTTTGTTTGTCCTTGTATGGACCTAGTTTTAATGGCTGGAGCGTAAGCTGTCCAATGAATCATTGTTTCTCTGATAAAAGAATTTCTTTACCAGTCAAATTACTCTGATGAAATATAATCTCAATGGAAACTCCTCTGAATAGTTGAAAAGGAAAAAAAGTCCACTTCCTTCTGCTTCATTTCACTGCACACAGCTTTTCTGGGAAACCACTATTATGTCCTGTATATCTCAAGGATGCACTGAATTCAAAATGGGCATGGATGGCGTTTGGAGCTATACTATAGGGGCCTTGGTCCAGGCAGGTCAATGTGAACTGTAGGTATAAATCCAGAGATGAGTCACAGTGAGACAGCGGAAATCCACGGAGTGGTAAAACAGTACCAGCCCAGTGTTAAATTCAGTCCTTCTGTAAGCAGGGGCAACTCCCACTCAGGTCAGTGTTTGAGATTTGCATAGCTGACTAGGAGATTTTGTCACACAATTTCCATTGAAATGAATGGGGGCTGCGTGGCTAAATCCTCAAGTTAGAATTGAACGTCTCAAGCAGTGAGGGTTGCAGCTTCTTTGTGTCAAGGCTGAGTGTGCCTCCGTCTCTTTGAATTCTGTGAGGGGAAAGATACCACATTTGTGCTAGTTCTGGACTGATGAAATGGGATTATGGGTCAAAGCCTGTTTGATTATTATATTTACTGAATCTATACAAGACTGTAAGATACAGTGCTAGATACCTGCAGCTACCAAGGGCGATTGGATGTAGTTGCATTTGTATAGGTGAAGTCCCTCTTGTTTTCATCACAAAAGCCTCTCTTTCTATTTTGGTCAAAGCCAAACTGATGGGCATATTCTGTTTTGTAGCTTCTGATGCGTACTGCTTGCTGGAGGTGTATAAGAAACTGTGTGAAGATCCGTTAGGCTTTGGCCTGTGTTCAGATCTCACTGAGAGCCTGGTGGCTAAACCTACCACAAAACACAGGGCAAAGAAGCAGCTGAATCAACAAGAAATGCCATCACCTTCCAAGCAGGTTTGTAAACATCTTCAAAGAACTATACACTGCTCCCAATCTCTTCAAAGTATACAGTGGCTTCACCTCTCAAGCAGGCTATTAGCCATGCCTGTCAAGCCTCTCTGCAGGCCTTTCTCTAGTCCGGGGGTAGCAAAAATCCTTCTCACTTTCCTATTTCACTGGAGAAATGATCACTGGCGCTAGTGGGTTAAACACAAGGTTCCCTGCATAGGGGTCAGTGCATTTATTTCCTCTGCTGGAAAACGTTATTTAGAAATACAAACAATATAGCAGGTTTCAGAGTAACAGCCGTGTTAGTCTGTATCCGCAAAAAGAAAAGGAGTACTTGTGGCACCTTAGAGACTAACCAATTTATTTGAACATAAACTTTCGTGAGCCACAGCTCACTTCATCGGTTGCATACTGTGGAAAATGTAGAAGATATTTTATACACACAAAGCTTGAAAAAATACCTCCCCCCACCCCACTCTCCTGCTGGCAATAGCTTATCTAAAGTGATCACTCTCCTTACAATGTGTATGATAATCAAGGTGGGCCATTTCCAGCACAAATCCAGGTTTTCTCACACACCCCCCCCCCCCCACACACAAACCCACTCTCCTGCTGGTAATAGCTTATCGAAAGTGATCACTCTCCTTACAGGTTTCAGAGGAACAGCCGTGTTAGTCTGTATTCGCAAAAAGAAAAGGAGTACTTGTGGCACCTTAGAGACTAACCAATTTATTTGAGCATGAGCTTTCGTGAGCCACAGCTCACTTCATCAGATGTGTACCGTGGAAACTGCAGCAGACTTTATATACACACAGAGAATATGAAACAATACCTCCTCCCACCCCACTGTCCTGCTGGTAATAGCTTATCTAAAGGATCAGCAGGTGGGCCATTTCCAGCACAAATCCAGGTTTTCTCACCCTCCACCCCCCCACACAAATTCACTCTCCTGCTGGTGCTAGCCCATCCAAAGTGACAACTCTTTACATAATCAAGTCGGGCTATTTCCTGCATAGATCCAGGTTTTCTCACTTCCCCCCCACCCCCAAACACACACAAACTCACTCTCCTGCTGGTAATAGCTCATCTAAACTGACCACTCTCCAAGTTTAAATTCAAGTTAAACCAGAATATCGGGGGGGGGGGGGAGGAAAAAACAAGAGGAAACAGGCTACCTTGCATAATGACTTAGCCACTCCCAGTCTCTATTTAAGCCTAAATTAATAGTATCCAATTTGCAAATGAATTCCAATTCAGCAGTTTCTCGCTGGAGTCTGGATTTGAAGTTTTTTTGTTTTAAGATAGCGACCTTCATGTCTGTGATTGCGTGACCAGAGAGATTGAAGTGTTCTCCGACTGGTTTATGAATGTTATAATTCTTGACACCAGAGAGATTGAAGTGTTCTCCGACTGGTTTATGAATGTTATAATTCTTGACAACTGATTTGTGTCCATTTATTCTTTTACGGAGAGACTGTCCAGTTTGACCAATGTACATGGCAGATGGGCCTAATAACATCAGCCACACTATCAGAGGCTCGTTCACCTGCACATCCACCAATGTGACATATGCCATCATGTGCCAGCAATGCCCCTCTGCCATGTACATTGGTCAAACTGGACAGTCTCTCCATAAAAGAATAAATGGACACAAATCAGTTGTCAAGAATTATAACATTCATAAACCAGTCGGAGAACACTTCAATCTCTCTGGTCACGCGATTACAGACATGAAAGTTGCAATTCTTCAACAAAAAAACTTCAAATCCAGACTCCAACGAGAAACTGTTGAATTGGAATTCATTTGCAAATTGGATACAATTAACTTAGGCTTGAATAGAGACTGGGAGTGGCTAAGTCATTATGCAAGGTAACCTATTTCCCCTTGTTTTCTCCTAACCCCCCCCCCCCCTCAGATGTTCTTGTTAAACCCTGGATTTGTGCTGGAAATGGCCCACCTTGATTATCATACACATTGTAAGGAGAGTGGTCACTTTCGATAAGCTATTACCAGCAGGAGAGTGGGTTTGTGTGGGGGGGGGGTGAGAAAACCTGGATTTGTGCTGGAAATGGCCCACCTTGATTATCATACACATTGTAAGGAAAGTGATCATTTTAGATAAGCTATTTCCAGCAGGAGGGTGGGGTGGGGGGAGGTATTTTTCAAGCTTTGTGTGTATAAAAGATCTTCTACACTTTCCACTGAATGCATCCGATGAAGTGAGCTGTGGCTCACGAAAGCTTATGCTCAAATAAATTGGTTAGTCTCTAAGGTGCCACAAGTACTCCTTTTCTTTTTGCGAATATAGCAAGTTGCCATTGATGTTAGCATCTTTCTATTTGCATACAAGGTTTTTCAGCAAAATTTACTATCCTAAACTAATGGGAATATTGTAAATTAAACATATCTGGGCTATTGCTGCAAAGGTTGCTACAATAAGTTTTACAGGCTTGGACTTCCTTGTGAACTCAGGATCCATCATTGTCACCTGTACAATCCAATTAATTAGTCAAGTGACTATTGTTGATGTTTATTATAGTAGTGTCCAGGGACGCACTGAGATCCGGGCTCTATTGTGCTGGGCATTGCACAAGTACGAAGTGGAAGAAGCTCTGCCCCAGAGAGCTTCAAGTCTCTTTGAGAAAAGGCAGCAACATAGATTTAACAGTGTAAATATCTTCATACTGTGTCACCGTTGAAAAGTGAGCATATACTCACAGAGACCACCCACTGGTATCTGAGATAAGAAAATAAGAATGGCCATACTGGGTCAGACCAGTATCCTGTCTTCTGATGGTGGCCAATGCCAGACGCTTTAAAGGGAATAAACAGAACAGGTAATCACCAAGTGATCCATTCCCTGTTGCCCATTCCCAGCTTCTGGCAAGCAGAGGCCTGGGAGACTTCAGAGCATGGTTTTGCAACCGTGTCCATCCTGGCTAATAGGCATGGATGGACCTATCCCCCCATGAACTTATCTAGGTCTTTTTTCAACCCTATTATGGTCTTGGCCTTCACAGCATCCTCTGGCAAAGAGTTCCACAGGTTGACTGTGCACTGTGTGAAGAAATACTGCCTTTTGTTCATTTTAAACTTGCTGCCTATTTCATTTGGTGACCCCCTACTTCTTCTGCAGTCGCGATACTGCGTATAACGGCCCCTGCAGCCGTGATACTGTGTATGATAACGGCCCCTGCAGCCGCAATACTGCGTATAATAATGTCCCCTGCAGCTGCTCCCTGTTCTAAGCTCTGTCACCACCTACAGACTGTAAACAGGTCTTTCAAGCAACCTGGCCTATTAATTTGAAGATACTAGAAGCAAAGCTGAGCATTGGAGGCTGGTTTGGGGTTGCAGCCCCAAGTACCCTGATTAGGTTCCCTGCTACATTAATACAGCCTCCCAAAGATGGGATGGTGTCTCAGGGGACTCTCCAGGCAGCAGACATTTGAACTAAAATAAACAAACTTCAGTCAACCCTGAATGTCTGTTTTTCTGTAGCAAGCCAAAGTGATTGGCATGGCGGCCTTGCGTCCCCCTCCTTCTGTCTCCCCGAAGGAGTTCAGCGTGGTCTGTGATAACATGCTGCAGGGACTTGGGCGCCACCTTCGCTGCCTCGGAGTGGACGTCCGCATGCTAGAGAATGACGACAACCATAGAAAAGCTGCTGAGGTCAGTCTTGGTTGGGTTGCTTTAGTTGTCACCATGTAGGGAAAGCACAGTGTTTAAACAAATGTGATTTCAGTTGGTATTAATATTCCTCCTTGCCCAAAGAGCCTGGGAGCGTTGCCTGCTACACACTTATCCTGTTCGTGTGCTAACACCCCATTGTCTGTCTCAGTACTGTCACAAGTGGCCTCGCAGACCTGGCCGTTATCATTTTGGCTATGCTTTCCACTTCCTGGGGAGAGAGGGTGGGACCAAACCCTGTTTGCATGAAGAGAAGGAGTACTTGGGGCACCTTAGAGCTCTGTGATCTCGTTTGTGATCTGTGAGCTTGTTCATAGCTGCACTCTTCTGTCATGGACAGCAGTGCTGGGAGCTGCCAAGCAATTAAAAGAACAAAAGTGCATGAGGTGTCACCAGTAGTTTACGAGTATTTATAATGGTGCAGTGCCATCGCGGCTAGGGCAAAAGACTGGGGCCCAGAAGGCATTTGGTCGATAATGGGATAGAACCACAGGAAGGGAAATAATTTGTCTGGCTTGTTTCTTAGACACCCCGGAGGGAACATAATCAAAGCAGGACTGTGCTGCATGTGAGTGAAGATTTCCAGGATAAAATATCAGGAAACTTCCTAGCTTGCTAGCATGGGGTACACTTACACCCAGCCTGGCTAAACAACTCCAGGATGTCTAGAAATGAGTCAGATTTGAACATTCAAGAAGGAAGTACCTGTAAAATGTGCTGAGGTGGCTAGCACTGAATCTGGACTCCCATAGCCACTATGTCTGACCCCCTATGGCTAGGAGGAAAGAGACACACACTTTTTCATTTCACACATATTTCTGCTATGACAGAAATGGAGATATCCAGCCCACACAATTTGTTGCTATCAAATATGCTGTGATGACCAGGCCTAGTGTACAGGAAGTTTCTTCTTCAGATGTCTGCTTGGCTGGAATCCTGAGCGGTCCTTAACTTCTGGAGAAATAATTAATATCTCATCCCTGACTTACATGAGTCATTAAAACACACTAGCTATCCCGCATCTACCCCTCCCCCCCATCCGTCTCTTCTTCTTCTGATGCCTTATCATACTCCGGACAGGATGTTTCAGATTGTACTCTCTATGGTGACCAGGCAAACATCCTTTCGCTATCAAAAGCCCTTGGAGAGTTACTGCATTGCAGAAGCTTTGGATAATCGGAGATAAAAATGGATATCTCTGCCCTCTTTATATCTGAGAATCATGATTTAAATAAAAATCGAATGCTGAACATTGCGCACACAGAAAGTCAGCAACCAGCTCTCCCAGAAACAGGAGAGAGATTTGAAGAGTGATCACCAGGGCTTGGTGTGTTTGAAAGATGCTATCATAATAACCCACCAGTGTCACCTGGGCCCACAACATGCACATGCAAAGTCAGGGTTTGTTTTTCCATTACAGTTATTTCAATTGTATCATTAATCACACGTACATACACACACGTACATCTTTCTTGTTCTCACATTGCAAAGATCCCTCTAGCAACTCATTTGCCAAGCAAGGCCCCTTGAATCGCCTTGCATTTGCTTCCTATTGTTTTTCCAGCACCAGTTGCTAAAGCAACTGTGAATATTACTAAGTGGATGGTCTCAGCTTTTGGATTTTATCTGAGATGTTGCTTAAAAGCAAGATGCAAGCCTGCATCTCTGGGTTTGCACTGTACCCTCTTGGAATAATGCTTATGGTAGTGGTAGAGCAATATCCCTCCTGTGGTTTGGGAAATACTGCTCCCTAAATTCACACCAAACCCAATGTCTGTGTGATCTTGGTACAAATGAGTTGGGTGGTTTTGGTCTGGTTCATAAGCCAGTGTTACGAAACTACTGTCGGGATTTGGAGCCGTTGCTCATTTTCAGGAATGTGTGCTTAGGAGAAATCTAGGACTCAAATAGCAGGGATATAGCAGGTCAGGGGTATAGCAAACGCACAGCAGGTCAGGACTAAAGCGTATTTATAGTTGTTTAAGGCTCATGAGTGTTGCTGGCTAGCATGAGATACATTTGCAGGGCCTGGCATAGCAACTGGGTGCAGGTGTGGATTGAGATGCACAGACAGCACTGTACAATGAAGCTTACACAACACCTACCGCACCTAGGTTGTGCTTTCATATTGAAGAACGCTATTCTTATTCCATAGCTAATGCCATTGAAAGTAGCTCCACAGCAGAACAGGATAGTCCCTTTGGCATGTGGTGCCTTTTCAAGTAATAAATACTAGTAGCTAGCTCTTATACAGAGTTCTTCCTCCAGAGAGCTCAAAGCGCCTTACAAAGACAGGTCTGTGTCATCATCCCTGCTCTCCTGAGCGTGAAGCTGAGGCCCAGAGAGGTGAAGTGACTTAGTCAAAGTCACCCCTCTGTTTCCTGGGAGAGCTGGGAACAGGCCATATCCCCTGACTCCTGGTCCAGAGTGCTGTGCACTGGCCCACTCCAGCTTGCTGCTAGAGCCTGGAGTTTGGTGTCTGTCCTTTTACTTGATTCCTGGCCAGTTAGTACCAGAGTTCCATTTGTTTATTTCTCTCTATGAAGAGGAGAGAACATGCTCTTCTCCTTGAATTATGTTTCCCATTGGTTTCCGTCTAAGGTAGGCTCCTCTGCCCTTTGTGCACTTCAGCCAGGCTTTGCTACAAAAGCCGACAAACATTTCAGGAAAAAATATTGCTTTTCTTATTTTTATTTATGTGACTTGCCTTGCCTTTCCAGTGCCATTTAGACAAGGGGCTTTTATCAAGCTTGAACTAATTAACCGCAGCAGCAGGAAGTCTGAATGGAGTGTTCCCGCTGTGAAATCCTCAGAATTATTTTGAAGTACACATAGGTCTGAAGGAATTTAAGAGATCTCTTTTCCCTTGTTGGCAAATCCCTGTAATTTAATTGAGCGATAAAGGTCCAGCAGGACAGGCACTAATGTGCCATAAGCTGTAGCAGTGATTCACCATCAGCCAGTCACATTCTGGATTTCCTGGTGCTGTTTTGTAATGCTCACTAAAGAGTGAGAGTTGGAGTTGACCTGGTGATTTCACTCCCATGGCCCCAGTTCCTCTGGAGACGTGTGCCTTACTAAGAGAGTAAGCTTGTTGTTTGCGTCAGAGCACCATCCAGCATGTTAGGGGGTGGCCTTGAGTGCTCTCTCAGCCTAGTGGTGGTAGCTAGTAACTGTACAAAGGTAAGAATAAAAAGGGCCCTCTGGCAAGACAGGTTCGGAACAAAGCTCTGTGTAGTCCACCCTTATCATGTTCCATGTGATGGGCAAGCTCCTCAAGATATAATAATGATAATAGTACCTAGCTGAATCATGGATGAATCAACTGCAAAGGGAGATTATGACTTCAGGGATTTCTCTCTTCTAATGTGTTTCTCTAGACTGGATGGGCCCAAGAAGAACATGCCATGGTTTGTAGCTGAGAGAGAGTTGAAGTGGTTTTAAAAAACACACAATTTAATTTCTAAAGCTTTGCCTTTCCTGTTTACACTTAGTGACAGCCCAGCTCATTCTGGGGTGAAAGTAGAGAGACTGCACTGCGTTGATCTCTCGGCATTTCCTTTTGCCAGCATAAGGACTAGTGTTGATAGGAGCCAGAGGGAGCTTCCCAGACTCCTAACCAGAGGAGAGGCCCCAATGTCTTGAGGTCGGATACATAGAGAGAGAGTAAGGTCTCTAACAGAACACAGGGCAAGGCATAGAGATGAGAAGTAACCCCATTCCTAGTTCAGAATGCAGCCTCTGTTAGGAGTGAAACGTAAATCCATATACAGTAGCTAAGGGGAGGGGAAATCTACCCCAGTAGCCTGTAGTCCATTTACAGGTGGAGATACTGCTCTGTCACACAGAGATCAGGCACATTTTCATCTTTGTGAAGCATCTTGGTTCTAGAGTCACTCGCCTGTTTCATTACCAAAGCATTCCAAATGAATCTCACCAAATCATGAACATCAAGAGTATGGCTTGGGAACCCCTCAATCATTCGGAACAAACTCTGTACTGGAATGATGGTCTTGTGGTTAAGGATTGGTCTGGAAGTTATGAGATAAGCTCTGCCACAGACTTCCTGTGTGAGCTTGGACAAGTCTTTGTGCCTTTGTTCCCCATAGCTCTGCCCTATCTCACAAGGGTGTGAGGCTCATTTCATTCATGTTGGAGGCTTTATGGCATGGAATCTGTGTCACCAAATGTGTTCGTTTTTTAATATGATCTGATTGGGAGGTATTTTTCATTGGTATTTTTTACCCGTGTTAATTATGGCTTTTCCATCATTCACAGATTGCGAGGCAGGAAGGAAGGGTCATTTTAACTTCTGGACTCCCATATCAGACAGTAAGTGCTAAGTGTTTCTGGCATTTCTCTTGTGTAGTGTCATTTCATGGACTGGGATGCATAAAGTGGAGGAGAGGAAAAGGCAAATGTGAAAGCAACATCTGGACTGACTTTTCATCTGTTTTCTGTACTGAACGCCATTGACATATAAAGGATTTTGTAAGGCTTGTTCTAGCTCTGAATGTCAGAGGGATGGGAATAAGTTTCTTTTACACTTTATATTCAGCCAGAGGTGAGAGACATTACACTGCATCTCAAAATGTAAAATAAAGCAAACACATCCCAGAACAAAGTGGCTCTGTGCGGCTTATCCATCATGATTCAATGCAATTCACTTCCCATCCATTTCACCAAGGAGTAAAAAGAGATTCCTGTTTCTTGGCTGTATCAGTACTGACAACACTATCTGCTGTTCTAATGCTTTGGAGCTTTTCTTTAGGCTTGGAGGAGATAGGCTGGAAATGCCAAACACAGGCCCAATTGGAAGCTTGAATTGCTTTATGTGTGTGAAAAAAAATAAAACAGCCCCTGCACTCAGCCCCATAGCAAATGCCCATATCCCTCAATGAAACAGAATGCAATTACCCTCCCAAATACCATTAATGCATGTTTAACTATAGCATTCAGTAGTTGAAATGATACAGTACCCATTGTAGAAGATCATGTGCCCTGTCTTGTGACCCACAAATTCATTTAGAGCAGTAAAACCGCTGGGGATTGTGAGGACGACAGATTCCAGACTGCAGATACAAAAAGTCCTACCTGTCTTCACTTTCTGTTTGTACCTGGAGCTGGAGTAATCATAGAATCTACCTTGCGGGTTTACTAGTTAATACAGTTTGTTGCTGGGTGCATGAAAGAACCCTTTAAATACTGAGGCCACATCTACACTAATGAGCTTACAGCTGAACTGATGCAGCTGCACTGTTGTAAGATCTCTCATGGAGCCGCTCTATGCTGACGGGAGAGCGGTCTCCCATTGTCATAATAAAACCACCTCCGGGAGTGCTGGTGGCTGTGATGGCGAGAGAAGCTCTCCCACCAACATAGCGCTATGCATACCACCACTTACGCCGGCAAAACTTATGTCGTAGGGGGCTGTTTTTTTTAACACCCTTGAGCGACATAAATTTTGCTGGCATAAGTGATTGTATAGACGTGGCCCTTGTCTGGTTATTTAGGGCTCAGTGCTGCAGTCATAACAGAAGTGGAGCTTCCATTGACTCTACTTTTAACACTTCTCCTAGCTCCATAGATACTTCACGATCAGACCCATTGGTAGGAGGCAGAGGGAGGGAACTGCACTAGGAAAATAACTACTTTAGGATGTAGAGTATTGTATGGGGAATTGACTGCTGCCATTTGATTCATAGCACTTGTACGTCCCTTGTGTATGTTACAAAATGACAGCAGGGTTATACACTAGTAAACACTAGGCTTGTTTACTAAAGTTAATTGATTGCCAATTATCTGAAAGTAGTTAACACATTTACAAAGGCTAGTCTGGATGTTCCCTAAATGTGTTTTCCAGGATACAAACATCTGTGCTAAACCTGTCTGTGGAACACACGTGTGGGGAGTGGCCACAGTTACTACCCAAGCTAAATGGCAACCAGCTAACTCGAGGTAAAAAGGTGCAGTGCAGATAAACTTAGGAAGGTGAAGTGGTGTCTGTGACGGGTTGGATCACAGAAACCCCCTTGGGGCTGCCACCTGATGTGCCAAGACAAATTCTGCCCCTGCTTTCCTTGCCAGCTTGGGACTCCAGCACCCTGTCTCGCTGAGCCAGACACGCCAGTCTGCTCCAGCACAGACCCAGGGTCTGAGCCACATGCTCCAAAGCTGCAGACTTAACTGAAAGCAACTTAAGAAGTGTTCCTGTCTTTTAACACTCAGATGCTCAACTCCCAGTGGGGTCCAAACCCCAAATAAATCTGTTTTACCCTTTATAAAGCTTATACAGAGTAAACTCATAAATTGTTCACCCTCTATAACACTGATAGAGAGATATGCACAGCTGTTTGCCCCCCATTATTTGCCCCTAATACATACTCTGAGTTAATTAATAAGTAAAAAGTGATTTTATTAAATACAGAAAGTAGGATTTAAGTGGTTCCAAGTAGTAACAGGCAGAACAAAGTGAATTACCAAGCAAAATAAAATAAAACACGCAAGTCTAAGTCTAGTACAGTAATAAAACTGATTACAGATAAAATCTTACCCTCAGAGATGTTTCAATAAGTTTCTTTCACAGACTGGATGCCTTCCTAGTCTGGGAACAATCCTTTCCCATGGTACAGCCCTTGTTCCAGCTCAGGTGGTAGCTAGGGGATTTCTCATGATGGCCGCCCCCTTTGTTCTGTTCCACCCACTTACATATCTTTTACGTAAGGCGGGAATCCTTTGTCCCTCTGGGTTCCCACCCCTCTTCTCAATGGAAAAGCACCAGGTTAAAGTTGGATTCCTGTTCAGGTGACATGATCACAAGTCACTGTAAGACTTCATTACCCACTTGCCAGCCCACAGGTACACAGGAAGACTTACCAGTAAAACAGAGCCATCTACAGGTAATTGTCCTGGTTAATGGGAGCCATTAAGATTCCAGATCACCATTAATGGCCCACACTTTGCATAACTACAATAGGACCTCAGAGTTATATTTCATATTTCTAGTTTCAGATACAAGAGTGATACATTTATTCAAATAGGATGACCATGCTCAGTAGATTATAAGCTTTGTAATGATACCTTACAAGAGACCTTTTGCATGAAGCATATTCTAGTTACATTATATTCACACTCATTAGCATATTTTTATAAAATCATATAGAATGCAATGTCACAGTGCCAAGCTATTGTCAAGTGCTAGCTTCTCATTTCTTAGCTTGTTTTTTCTCATACTGGCGTACAATCTTCCAGCTGGCCTCAGTATGAGAGCAATGGTTAAATAAAATCCCCCATTTCCATCCTAGAGAGCACCCCTACAGTTGTGTATCTAAATTAAAGGGGAATTCAAACTGGCTGTCATGTGGTATATTCTGAACATTATATTGCTCCAGCAAGCTCCAAGCTCTTTACAAAGGTGGCTAAGTGTTAAATTACCTTCTGTGTTTGCTAGATCTGAATTTAGTGAGGTAACACAATAGCATCAAACTTTGTTATTAAAACCAAAGCTACCATATGGAAATGAGCCCAGATCCCAGCAGTGTGAGTGCATTGATTGACATCTCTTTGGTGTGTGATTTTCTTTTGAAGCTGCAGTCCCAGGTAGGAGAAGGAAGGTGTTTCTCTGTGGACTGTTCGGAAAAAGCAAAGGAGCAGGCCTTCCAGGTTCTGAAGCACTTCAATGTTCAAGTATCCCTTGCAGATGTCTTCAGCCGTTGTCAGGTAGGACTCTTCCTTTCTGAATTAGCATCACTGCTTGAGCTGTGCACAGCTGACACCATTGTAGTACTTAGGTTTCACATCCTTTGGTCTTGCTTTGAGGTTCCAGGTTTCCCACCTGGACTTGGGAAAGGTTTCACAAAGGAGTGTGTCTTTTGGAATGTGCTAATATCCTTTAGAAATGTTGGTGAATAAGTTAGAATAGCACAGATGCACATGAAGAGTGTTAGCATCTGGTTTCAGATCTTCTTTTAACCTTAATGTTCATGGATATAGTCTTCTTTGTTCCTCCTTTCTCTACCTAGCATGTGCTGTTTTAATTATAAGGCATGGTTAATATGGCTCTGTCATTTTGATAACTGTTGATTACACTGATGGGGAAGGGTCTGTAGGTTTTGGAGGCTAGGTTTTTTTGTCTCAGGGTCTGTTAGGTTGGTTGCTTTGTTGCCAGCTGATAGATCTAGGTTGTGTTTGGCATTGGATACTCTTGGACTGTTTGGGTTTTTTAAAAAATAATTTTTGATTGTGTTAGGCCTCAATCTTCTCCATACTCTGATCTCCTCCAGTTTCACTGTTTCAGTCATTACATTAACATGCTGAAATCGATTCCTTTGAAAACTGTAATGTGACTTGTAACATCTTGTGACTTGTAACATCTCTTATCTTATCAGGGTTTTAAAGAGAGGAAGGGAAGAAATATACAAAACTAACTAGAAAGGGAGCATTCCTTTATGGGTAAATGAGCCAAGTCTACAGTGGGCCAAGAAATGAGCCAAGAAACAGTATCTTCTGTTTCATTTGCTCTGGTAAATAGCTACCAGGGTTTCCCAGCACTGTGGAGCTTGCAAATTTTGCACCAAAGGCAATGAATATTGGGAAAGCACATCAGAGTGTGCTTTCCTAGAATTCCACTTATATCTGATTTCAAAAGTTGTTGAAACAGTGTCTGTAAGTCACTCAGAAAGCGGGTGGTCCAGATATTCAGTAGCACCCATAAGATGGGAATATCACAGTGCTGATCAGATGGTGTGGACATAGTCTGGGTCAGATACTGCATCAGGACAAAATGATATATTCAGATATCCGATAATGTTCTTTTTTCAAAGTAGCAGCCGTGTTAGTCTGTATCTGCAAAAAGAAAAGGAGGACTTGTGGCACCTTAGAGACTAACCAATTTATTTGAGCATAAGCTTTCGTGAGCTACAGCTCACTGCATTGGATGCATAGAGTAAAAATTACAGTAAGCAGTATATATACTGCAGCCCATGAAAAGATGGGAGTTGCCTTACCAATTGGGGGGGTCAGTGCTAACGAGGCCAATTCAGTTAAGGTGGAAGTGGCCTATTCTCAACAGTTGGTTACTTTTGTAGTGCTAACAAGGCCAAAGCAATCAAGGTGGATGTTGCCCATTTCCAACAGTTGACAAGAAGGTGTGAGTCTCAGCAGAGGGAAAATTACTTTTTGTAGTGATCCCTCCACTCCTAGTCTTTATTCGAGCCTAATTTAATGGTGTCCAGTTTGCAAATTAATTCCTGTTCTGCATTTTCTCGTTGAAGTCTGTTTTTGAAGTTTTTTTGTTGAAGGATTGCCGCTTTTAAGTCTGTTGTTGAGTGTCCAGGGAGATTGAAGTGTTCTCCTACTGGTTTTTGGATGTTACAATTCTTGATGTCTGATTTGTGTCCATTTATTCTTTTGCGTAGAGACTGTCTGGTTTGGCCAGTGTACATGGCAGAGGGGCATTGCTTGCACATGATGGCATATATCACATTGGTAAATGTGCAGGTGAGTGAGCCTCTGATGGTATGGCTGATGTGGTTAGGTTCTATGATGGTGTCCCTTGAATAGATAAGCAGACAGAGTTGGCACCGGGGTTTGTTGCAAGGATTGGTTCCTGGGTTAGTGTTTTTATTGTGTGATGTGTAGTTGCTGCTGAGTATTTGCTTCAGGTTGGGGGGCTGTCTGTAAGCAAGGACTAGCCTGTCTCTCAAGATCTGTGAGAGTGATGGGTCGTCCTTCAGGATAGGTTGTAGATCCTTGATGATGCGTCGGAGAGGTTTTAGTTGGGGGCTGAAGGTGATGGCTAGTGGCATTCTGTTGTTTTCTTTGTTGGGCCTGTCCTGTAGTAGGTAACTTCTGAGTACCCTTCTGGCTCTGTCAATCTGTTTCTTCACTTCAGGAGGTGGGGATTGTAGTTGTAAGAATGCTTGATAGAGATCTTGTAGGTGTTTGTCTCTGTCTGAGGGGTTGGAGCAAATGTGGTTGTATCGTAGAGCTTGGCTGTAGACAATGAGTCGTGTGATGTGGTCTGGGTGAAAGCTGAAGGCATATAGGTAAGTATAGCAGTCAGTAGGTTTCTGGTATTGGGTGGTGTTTATGTGACCATCGCTTATTTGCACTGTAGTGTCCAGGAGGTGAATCTCTTTTGTGGACTAATCCAGGCTGAGGTTGATGCTTGGGTGGAAATTGTTGAAATCCTGGTGGAATTCCTCAAGGGCCTCCTTCCCATGGGTCCAGATGATGAAGATGTCATCAGTGTAGCTCAAGTAATGTAGGGGGGCTAGGGGACAAGAGCTGAGGAAGCGTTGTGGGTGAGGACAAAGTCACAAAGTTCAGCCACCAGGTTTGCCGTGACATTATTGGGGATACTGTTCTTGATGGCTTGTAGACCATCTTTGTGTGGAATGTTGGTCAGAGGGCTTCTACGTCCATCGTGGCCAGGATGGTGTTTTCAGGAAGATCACCGATGGATTGTAGTTTCCTCAGGAAGTCAATGATGTCTCAAAGATAGCTGGTAGCGTAGGGCCTGAGGAGGCAGTCTACATAGCCAGACAATCCTGCTGTCAGGGTGCCAATGCCTGAGATGATGGGGCGTCCAGGATTTCCAGGTTTATGGATCTTCGGTAGCAGATAGAATACCCTAGGTCAGGGTTCCAGGGGTGTGTCTGTGCGGATTTGTTCTTGTGCTTTTTCAGGGATTTTCTTGAGCAAAATTGTTGGGCAATCAACAGGTTATCTCAAGTGCTTATATACCAATGCACAAAGCCTTGGAAACAAGCAGGGAGAACTGGAGGTCCTGGTGATGTCAAGAAACTATGACGTGATTGGAATAACAGAGACTTGGTGGGATAACTCACATGACTGGAGTACTGTCATGGATGGTTATAAACTGTTCAGGAAGGACAGGCAGGGCAGAAAAGGTGGGGGAGTAGCACTGTATGTAAGGGAGCAGTATGACTGCTCAGAGCTCCGGTACGAAACTGTAGAAAAACCTGAGTGTCTCTGGATTAAGTTTAGAAGTGTGTGCAACAAGAGTGATGGGAGTCTGCTATAGACCAGGGGGATGGGGTAGATGAGGCTTTCTTCCGGCAGCTCACGGAAGCTACTAGATCGCATGCCCTGATTCTCATGGGTGACTTTAATTTTCCTGATATCTGCTGGGAGAGCAATACAGCAGTGCATAGACAATCCAGGAAGTTTTTGGAAAGCGTAGGGGACAATTTCCTGGCGCAAGTGCTAGAGGAGCCAACTAGGGGGGGCGCTTTCCTTGACCTGCTGTTCACAAACCGGGTAGAATTAGTGGGGGAAGCAAAAGTGGATGGGAATCTGGGAGGCAGTGACCATGAGTTGGTTGAGTTCAGGATCCTGACGCAGGGAAGAAAGGTAAGCAGCAGGATATGGACCCTGGACTTCAGGAAAGCAGACTTCGACTCCCTCAGGGAACGGATGGCCAGGATCCCCTGGGGGACTAACATGAGGGGGAAAGGAGTCCAGGAGAGCTGGCTGTATTTCAAGGAATCCCTGTTGAGGTTACAGGGACAAACCATCCCGATGAGTCGAAAGAATAGTAAATATGGCAGGCGACCAGCTTGGCTTAATGGTGAAATCCTAGCGGATCTTAAACATAAAAAAGAAGCTTACAAGAAGTGGAAGGTTGGACATATGACTAGGGAAGAATATAAAAATATTGCTCGGGCATGTAGGAATGATATCAGCAGGGCCAAATCGCACCTGGAGCTGCAGCTAGCAAGAGATGTCAAGAGTAACAAGAAGGGTTTCTTCAGGTATGTTGGCAACAAGAAGAAAGCCAAGGAAAGTGTGGGCCTCTTACTGAATGAGGGAGGCAACCTAGTGACAGAGGATGTGGAAAAAGCTAATGTACTCAATGCTTTGTTTGCCTCTGTCTTCACTAACAAGGTCAGCTCCCAGACTGCTGTGCTGGGCATCACAAAATGGGGAAGAGATGGACAGCCCTCTGTGGAGATAGAGGTGGTTAGGGACTATTTAGAAAAGCTGGACGTGCACAAGTCCATGGGGCTGGACGAGTTGCATCCGAGAGTGCTGAAGGAATTGGCGGCTGTGATTGCAGAGCCATTGGCCATTATCTTTGAAAACTCTTGGCGAACAGGGAAAGTCCCGGATGACTGGAAAAAGGCTAATGTAGTGCCAGTCTTTAAAAAAGGGAAGAAGGAGGATCCGGGGAACTACAGGCCAGTCAGCCTCACCTCAGTCCCTGGAAAAATCATGGAGCAGGTCCTCAAAGAATCAATCCTGAAGCACTTGCATGAGAGGAAAGTGATCAGGAACAGCCAGCATGGATTCACCAAGGGAAGGTCATGCCTGACTAATCTAATTGCCTTTTATGATGAGATTACTGGTTCTGTGGATGAAGGGAAAGCAGTGGATGTATTGTTTCTTGACTTTAGCAAAGCTTTTGACACGGTCTCCCACAGTATTCTTGTCAGCAAGTTAAGGAAGTATGGGCTGGATGAATGCACTATAAGGTGGGTAGAAAGCTGGCTAGATTGTCAGGCTCAACGGGGAGTGATCAATGGCTCCATGTCTAGTTGGCAGCCGGTGTCAAGTGGAGTGCCCCAGGGGTCGGTCCTGGGGCCGGTTTTGTTCAATATCTTCATAAATGATCTGGAGGATGGTGTAGATTGCACTCTCAGCAAATTTGCGGATGATACTAAACTGGGAGGAGTGGTAGATACGCTGGAGGGCAG